CATATGTTCGAACGAGATCCCCAAATTTTTGACATGCATCCAGAATCCAGCCCTACTTGGGGAACGAGATCAGGGCCCGCAGTTAGGATGCGCGTCCTTTAGCTACTTACGAAATAAACTTCGTCGCTCATATATATATATATTTATATTTATATTCACATTACATTATATATTGCATATGTGTGTTAGCTGTATGGCTATATGTGCATATGTAAGTTTCTGTGTCGATTAATGCACGTGTTATATACATACACAGGTTAGATTAGACTAGATTGGTCTTGATTAGGTCAGGTTGGAAGGAAGCGAGGAGAGAGGGAGAGAGAGAGAGAGAGACAACATATGGGGGGCCAATAGGCCGGGGGGCCTGACATGCCCCTTATGCCCTGGGGAAGAAGAGAGAGAGAAAGAGAGTGAGAGAGAGAGAGAAAGGGACCAGGATACCTCCAAAGACCCCGTTTGCATTGGTTTGGTCTCCCTGAGATTTCTCCTTAACCCTGAACCTCAGACTCTCTAAACCCTGGGTCCCTCCACCCTAGAAGTCTAATACAGACGCCTAAATAATTACCCATATTATTCCTTCTGGTTCCTTATTAGAAGTATACGATAACAGGGCCCAAAGCCCAATTCTAATCAAAAAGGCCCCTATATTACACCCATCAACCCTACCAGCAAAATCAAGCTTGTCGCCCTAAAGCCAAAGCCTACAAGGAGTGACTTACCCCAGCCCTCTCCCCAAATACAAAAACACTCCAAAAGAACATCACCACTCTGGAAACCCTAAACCCTAAACCCCTTAACCCCTAAACCCCTAAACCCCTAAACAGTCTGAGACAAACCCCCCCCCCCCTGAGCGCTCAGGCGCAGAGAGTCTGGATAGGGCTCGAAGAGAAGGCTGTCGACTACCAATGGGCCCGGCCAGCCTGTTTTTCGGGCTAGGGGTTTAGGGATTCTAGGGGTTTAAGGGTTTAGGGATGTTTAGGGTTTCCAAAGGGCCCGGCCAGCCTGTGTTTAGAGCTTAGGACTTTAGGGCTTAAGGGTTTTGAGAATTTAGGAGTTTAGGGGTTTAGGGGTTTAGGGGTTAAGGCTTAAGGGTTCAGGGTTTAGGGGTGCGGGCATACAATCCAAGCCCGTGCTCAAAAAAAGGGTTTAGGGGTTTAAGGGTTTGGGGTTTAGGGGTTAGGGTTTAGGGCTCCAAAGGCTCGATTTGGGCTACCGGAAGGGTTAGGGGAAAACCACAAGGGTGGCTGGAGGGGTTACTGTCAGTCAGGAGAACTATGAGGGCGACTGTGAGGGCTGTCTAGAAGGCTTACTACAAGGGTTCTTTGGGGACTGTGAGAGTTGGGTAAGAGGTTTCTGATCGTCTTAGAAGATTCTTCGGTTCCATGGGGATTTTTCCGGCTTGGGGAGAGATTTCAAGTAGATTTCCGATCTCTACTATGTTGAGATTGAGGGTACACGCCCTGAAAGAGGATCCCCTTCGCGGAGAAAGGCGCGGACGATAAGAAGTACTTGTGGGGTCAGGACCAAAGTTGCTCCTGGCCACGCTTCAACATGCCTAAACACTAAACCCCAAACCCTAAACCCTAAACCCCAAACCCTAAACCCCCCAAAACCCTAAACCGCTGCAACCTGAAACTCCGGCAGACTCCCTGCCCTCAATCCCGAGTCCGAGGCCTTTGGAATCGGTAGTTTGTAAGTACCTGGACCCCAAAAGTATGTAGAATAATTTGCCTATTTATGGGTTTTGGGCCATTATTTTACCTACCTTTGGGGGTTTAGGTAGAGTTCAAGCAGGGTACAGCAAGGTGTTTCTTTGGGTGCCTTCTACTTCTCCCTTTCTACCCTACTCCATTATCGACTCCGAAACCTTTTTTGTTACGGATTCGGAGCCGTAAGCCCTTCGACCGAGCCCGACGATGAAACAGGGTATTGGATTTAGAGATTCGGATTTAGGTTGAGGGTTTACGGTGTAAAACTTTGGGCATATTAAGCTCAAGATGTACGTTTGAGGATTTGGGGTCGAACGCTCGGGGTTCGAGGATTCGGTGCTTATTTGTGGATTTGTGAACATGCTGTGCCGTATAAGGGATCCCGATTTTCACCCGCATTCGCAAGGTGGAGATTGACTTGTGCCCCACCGCGGCTGGTGATGGCAATCGTGCAATGATGATTGTGTCTCAGTGTTGAAGGTTCAGGGCTTTTTGGGTTTGGGTTTAGGGCTTGCGGTTTAGATTGGTCCCCATTGTTGTTGACAGCGGTTCCACTCCGAAGCTGCTGTTTGTAGAGCTTCTGGTGTAGGATAGTTCAAGGTGTATGTGCGGCACGCAGGACTACAGCTATCAGGTGTGCGCACGCAGGACTACAGCTATAATTATAAGGTGTGCTCTACTGGCGCCCACTTGCACAGACAACACCGCCGTAGCATGCAGGTGCCGATCCGAAGCCCATGTTCAACTATGCGGCTCGAGGGTGTTCCGAGACTGAGAGAGCCCAATCCCAGAAATATGAGATGCCTTGCCGCTTGCACTGGTCCTTCCCAGACCTGAACCTTGAAATGGAAAGAAGACATACATCCCACATCCTAAAATGGGCAGTTCTCTAATATAGGATCCCTCTTTGGGTCCCCAACATAGCACGGCACCCTTCTAACAAGGACCTTAGAAGGGAACCCTAACTTAGAAAACTACCCACATCTCGTCAGTCTAAACTGGCTTCGAGCCCCGCGCTCCAACAGGCTGCGTAGGACATGAGGTGTCAAAAAAAGTTTCCTAAACCCGCATAGACCCTAACGCCCTCGACCCTGAACCCTAAACCGCAACCCTTCTCAACACCCTAAACCCTAAACCCTAAACCCTTCTCAGCCGTAAGCCCACTGCAAACCGAGCCCTGCGGAGAGGTATCGAAGCGCATCGACGGGAAGCCGGGGTCGATGGCTGATGCCTCTGGAGGACGAAAGCTTGCGATGTAGGGGTCTTAATACTAAGTTTAGGGTTTATAGGGTTTAGGGAGTTTAGGGTTGATAGGGTTTAGGGTTTAGGGTTTAGACAGAAGTTTAAGGTTTAATTCGGGAAGTTTAGGGTCTTGGGTCCAACTGGGCAGTTCTCTAAGTTAGGGCTTTTTGGTTCCATTGCCCAAAACAGTACGGCACCCTTACGTAAAGGACCCTAAAAGGGACTAGACAACTACCCATATAGGGGTTTGAATACTTGGAATGGGGGAGTGCGGAGCTATACAGGGATAGTTGACTAACAGGGAGCAGTAGTATTGCTAATCTTTCAGGCATTTACACTTGCAGTGACTCTTGAGACGTTGGGGTGTTTAGGGTGTCCTGTTTAGGGTGGGCCCCTAGCCCCAACCCGGACTGCCCTAACACTAAGCATTGGCCGAATGCTCTAAGGACTCATATTCTAAGGCTTTTGGGCCCAAAGACCATACCATATAGGGCTTTTGGGCTATTTTGAGGGTTAGCATGTCATGTGAAGATTCGCAATGTCCTTTAGAAGGCTAGCTGTGGAAAGTTTGAGGCGTCGGAACTCCCAGAGTCCTTTCTTCTAAAGCTGGCTTTCCTTTTCTCAGCACATTTGGGCTTCGAAGAGAGGTTCAATTCAAAGTTCGAGTGAAGCAGGGTCTGCGCTCTCAGGCCTGCGAAGTCCCACTTTTCAAGCAACTCCGGCTTTTACTCGGTGCCCTCACTGGCTCAAGATCCCTAAACCCTAGGCTCGCTGAGCAGTCTGAGCCTGCCAGGGTTTGAACCTAGTGCTCCGATTTGTTACATAGATTATGGGCGTACCTTCATAATTATCTGCAGAAAAGCGCACTGAAAGGCCTTGAAGCTGGCGAGTTGTGGCTGTGACTCCTTCGACATCGTCCCGTCGGAACGTGATCCCGGAATGTGGAGCCCCGTATCGGACCCTATATAAAACCTAGACCACTTCTAAGGGGTTGTTTTTGTTGGGGCTTAGGGCTTGGGGTTTTTGGGTTTAGTGTTTAGGCTTTAGGAGGGGGTCCTACACCCTAAAGTCTACCATACACAATCCAGAAACGCCGGACCTGTCGGATTTCGGATGGCTGCTGCGCCTTCAAAGCCCCGCCCGCCGCTTGCCGTTGTGCTCAAGTCCCGCATGAATCCCAACAGCACTGAAGGTTTTAAACCCTAAACCCTAAGCCCTAAAGCCCTAAACCCTAAGCCCTAAAGCCCTAAAGCCCTAAAGCCCTAAACCCTAAGCCCTAAAGCCCTAAAGCCCTAAGCCAGTCGCCTGCATGAGCGGAAACGGAGTGAAAGAAGAGCACGTCGCTGTCCAGTCGCAGCAAACGTTGGACGTTGAGAGAAGCGTCGTAGACCCCTGAACAGAGCCACAACGAGCTCTTGTAGAACGCTTATCTGGGAGCCGAAACCCTGAACCCAAAACCCGAACCCCGACATGGGTAGTACTCTAAAGTAGCATCCCTTTTTAGGTCCCCAATATGGTACGGCACCCTTATAAGAGGGGCCCGAATTTCGAGAACTACGCACCATGGCAAAGCAGGTTGCCAAGGCGAAGCGTCAGCAGCCCGGATCGATCATCAAAGTCCTTCGGGGCGGAAAGTGCTTTCACATTCGGCTGCCGTCGCGCTTCTCGCTGGGCGCGGCTTGGATCAGAGGGCTCAACAGGGTGAGAGTGTAGGGTTCACTGGAGGCCCTTGGTTCATGGTTTTGGAGGCCTCGAATCGGTCCCGGGCAGACTTGAGAATTTATTACTTAACCAAAGAAAGTAAGACGGCCTCCTGAAGCTGCTTTCGGAGACCTTATAAGAGATCCTAAGCAAGGCTGCTGTGTGCTCCTATGGCTTCGCAATGCTGGCCCCAAACAGCTGGCAGCCGAATCCTGTACCCGGAGGCCGCTCTCATTGCCACGGCACTGGCAGTGGGATGCATTTTGATATTGGGTTCTTGGGCCAACCACAAACCCCAAGCCCCACAACCTAACACTGCATTGGGTTTCACTGTAGGATTTGGGGGGGTTTATGAAGCAGTGAGGTACGTATGCCTGGCTTGCGCTTTGGTGCAGTATTCCCAAAGACTCCAACATGCCGTCCCACAGATTAAAGACCCTTCCATACTAAGCCGTATTGTGAGTCTTTAATGTTGCTCAGCTACTTGATTTTGGAGCTTGGGCCTTGGGGGTGGGACCGTGAAGACACCCAGGCAAGGGAGTACTGCAGAGGCCTCTTCAGCTGCAGAGCGGCGGCGCGGTGCGAGCCACCATTCGGCAAAGCTCCTCGCGCGTTCTCGAAGTAGCCACCTCGAAGAAACTGTCTTCGGCCGATGTGGCAGCTCTCCACCGGCAGGTTTCTGTGGCGCGAAGAATACCGAAGCCATAATTGTCTGTATTATCTTTGGATACATGAACTTTAAACAAAAACCTAGTAAATCTTGCTCTCTTCATGTTACATAGGTCCATAGGTCTCACAGGGTTCAGGGCCTTGGGGAGAAGGTACCTGGTGCCAAAAGCCAAACCCAGAAGCCTAGGACCCCTGACCCCTGGATCGAACGCTCAAAACCCATAGACACCTGAACCCTTAAAGCCCAAGGCCCTGAACCCTAAATCCTAAACCTGAAGCTCTAAAATCCTAAACCCTAAACCCTAAACCCAGGTGCTAAGGATGCTAAGACTGGGCACTGCCGACGATGCCGTGGCCTGCGCTTTCGCAGAAGGGAGTCCAGATCTGTCCCAGCATACACCGGTGGCTTGCCTGCGATGCTTCTTGCATTGTAGCTTTCTGAACCCTCGTAGTCGACCGAAAACCACGCTGTCAACCGGACAGACCCCCCTGTTGCACTCAACACAGTCCTAAAGCCCTAAGCCCTATCAACCCTACAACTCCAAACCCTCCCATCAACAAAAAACAGCCCCTCCTCTGCTCCGAGGTGGGTCGACTGTTCCGGTCCCCCACCGTCTTCGAGGATCTGGTGGGAGTCTCAACAGCCCTGGGTTGCGGGTCCTTAAACCCCAAACTGCTGGGGACTCTTTATGGGAACCCTCACGAGAGCTGCGTCGTTCTAGGAACATGTAGGATCGGCTAATCATCACAATGCTTTGCTGGAGGAGCTCAGGGTGAGTTGGTTGATGTTGCGAAGGCTTGGTCACCAGGGAGAGTGTTCGGAAGGTTGTTGCAGTGTTTCAGGGATTTGGTCATTTCGGTGCTGGGTTTACACTCAGAGTCCTCACCGTAAATCCAAGGACATTGAGAACCCCCAGACCTAGACTAGATCGTAGCAGTCTTGTACGGGTTTCGGGTGGTTTAAGATTTTCTGATTTAGGGTGAGCTGTGTACTACCAGGTATCAGTATTGCACTCAAATGCGCTCAACGCCCTTGTCGAGGTGAAGACTTTCACTCTGTGCAACTGCGGCTGGACGAGGACAGTCATAGAATGGATCGGCTTATCAGCTTCGGCAAGTTAGGGCTTATATGTCATGGCTTCAAGTGTAGGCTTTAGGGCGGTTCTGGGTTAACGATTTATTGAGGTGTTTTCCGTGTTTCTTGGATTCTTTGGCTTACACTTTTCGTGTTTAGGGACTTGCGCGGTGTTACAGTTGGCGTGGATGTATTTGCAACATGTTGCAACCGACTCGCTGGCGGTACCGTGAATGCATGTCGTAGCTAGCGTCGTGGCAGAGTACCGGGGTCTCTAGAGAGAGACTCCAATATCCCGACACTACGGGAATAGTCAGTACTTAATCTGACCCCTTCTAAACTTCAGTTTTCTCTGGCAAGGACTATTTCCCCTAAACCCTAAACCCTAAACCGTGGCCTCTGGCAAGGACTGTTTCCCCTAAACCCTAAACCCTAAACCGTGGCCTCTGGCAAGGACTATTTCAATGAATGAAAAGCTTTGCCAGCATTTTGGCGGCCCGCTGGGCGCTTTTCCGTCGGCGGCGGTGCTGGCCAAGGTGACACCAAGGAGGTTTCCGGACTCTTAGGAGCCGTACAAGTCCTATACCGTAGCCCATAATCTATACCTGCACCCTTAACTTAGCTAGTCCTGTAAAACCCCTAAGCCCTCAGTCGGCAAGGCCAGCTCTATGACTCCAAGTCAACTATAGAAGCCTAAGTACTTACCTGCACCATTCCCTCCACTTTCAACTTGTAAGAAAGAAGCTTCAGTAGTTACCGATATTATTCCTATAGGGTTCCTTATTATTTAACTATACTATAAAGGAGCCCAAAACCTTTTTCTAATTATTAATAATATTTCCCTTACCTTACATGCATACCCGCCTTGTTTGGGGTCAAAGGTCTAGAAACATTACCTACTCCAAGCGGATAGCATACCAATGCTAATCGCTGGAATCATAACAACAATAATGACAACAATAATGGTTCAATAATGGTACTAAACGCAAACAGTAGCCACAGTTATTTCAATGTTTATTTCCCTATGGTTCCTGTTATAAACAAATTTATGAGAGAGCCGAAAAGGCTCAAAAAGCTTTGTGGAGTTGGCTACCGCGCTGAGCGGATCCTCAAGCTCGCGCGAGCCGCCAGGGCCGGCAGCTTAGACCCTTTGAGCGACCCAAACCTCGGGGAAGAGGACGGGCTTTGGGGTGTCTTGCAGGGTGTAGGGTTTAGGGTTTTAGGGGTTGGCTTAGGATTTAGGGGGGTTAGCAGCTTTCGTAATTGGGGCTTTCAGGGCTAGGTGTTTTTGAATTAGGATTTCGTACGTCGGGTTGTGCACGGTTTCTTTACGTGCGTTTGGTGCGTGTCGGGGGTGTATGGCGGCGGCAGCAGCAGCAGCAGCAGCAGAAGCAGCAGCAGCAAAGCAGAAGCAGAAACAGAAGCAGCAACCGCAGCATCAACAGCAACAGTAACAGCAACAGCAAGAACAAGAAATTCAGAAAGAACAATACAAGTAGCCTCAACAAGAACAGCAATAACAACTGCAACAACAACAACAACCACCACAACCACAACTACAACTACAAGTACACCCACAACGACAGCGACAGCCACAACCACAGCCACAACCACAACCACAACAACAGCCACAACAACAACAACCACAGCAACAGCAACAGCGACAGCAACAGCAACATCAACATCAACATCAATATGTGCAACGACAACAGCAACAACAACCACAACAACAATAACAAGAACAACAAGAACAACAAGAACAACAAGAACAAGAACAACAACAACAACAGCAACAACAACAGCAACAACAACAACAGCAGCAGCAGCAGCAGCAGCGGCGGCACTAGCAACAGCAACAGCAGCAGCGGCAGCGGCAGCGGCAGCGGCAGCGGCAGCGGCAGCAACAACAACAACAACAACAACAGCAACTACAACACCACAACTGCACCTGTAACTGCAACAGCAATAGCACCATAACAGTAGTAACGTCGACACAGCAGCGGCAACTAGAGCCACATTACATACAGCAACCAAAGGCAACCAGAGTGACCATGACAAGAGCAACCGTACTAGTACCATCAAAAGCTACAGTTGCAACTACAAGTACAACGACAACGACGGCGGCCGTGGTGGCGACACCGACCACGACCACCGACGACTGACACAGGAGGACTTCGGGCACATCACCCTAAACCCTAATCAGCCCTAATCCCTAAATCATGACAGGACGCAAGCCAGCGCTGCAAGGGCATCTACGGTCTCGGGCCTTTCGGCGTCGCGAACGCGCTGCAGCTCCTAGGATTCTACAAGGCAGGACCTGTTGGAGTCCGAGTTTATGGGACATAAACCCCAAGTTTGGTTTAGGGTTTAGGGTTTGGTGTCCGAGTTTCTGGGACATAAAACCCCAAGCCGGAAAAGGGTTGTAGGATTCGCGTCTGGGCTTTCGATACTTGCGGTGCTGTCCGATCGTAGGGTAAAATGGCTGAAGGCCCCCTGAAACTCCAAGAAATCTGGAGTTTAGGCAGGAATCGCTTGCCCCATTGACGGACGTTTCCTGGGACACAGGGGATCCTTGGTTGTACCTTCGAAGCCTCGAAGGCAGGGCATCATAGGGTGGGATGAAGCTAGGTGTCATTAGACTGCTTACATGAGGACACTTAGCAGAGATTCCTGCGCCGACCATAAGCCCTTAACCATCATTATGGACATGTGTTGTTCTGCTCTGGCTATGACTATGATGACGATGATGCTGGTGCTGATGAAGATGAAGATGATAAGAATGATGATGATGATGTTGATGAGGATGATGATGATGATGATGATGATGATGACGACTTTGCGTGTTGCTGCTGCTGATAATCACGATGATGGTGATGGTGGTGGTGATGATGATGCTTCTTCTGCTACTGTTGACTCGGCGTTACTGTCACCAAGACACTTTCTCGCTTCAGACGTGCTGTCATGGGTACTAGTATAATCATGACTCATGACCAGACCGCGTAATCTTGCTTATGATGCTTGCCACAAGCCCTAAACCTCTGCCCGATCGCAGGACATCCCGGCAGACAGCGAGACATGCCGGCACTTACGGCAGGCGCGTGGCCTGCGATCCTGCACACTTCAGAATGTTGCGCTCGTGGCTGCCCGGGTGCTTCTTGGCTTGGAGTTTAGGGTCGGTGCGGAAGAGCTGGGATCCTCCTCCATGTGCATGGCCTTTCCATGTCGGACTTCCTGTTAGGGGGGCTTTGAAGAGCAACCCGAGGTACCGGCCGTATGCACCCCACCAGTTCTTGAGATATTGGACAGAGCTCTGGCGGACCTACGAGCAGCGGATGGGGACAACTGCCTGGAAGGCGGATCCTTCGAAGTATCGTCTCCTGACGGCCGCTCACATGAAAGTGCCAAGGCAAAGCTACCAGGCAGCGCCCGCAAAGGCGAAGAGGGTAAAAGGCATCGGAGTTCTTGCCTTGCAGGGTGCAGGTTTCTGGCCAGGAACTTGCACAAGCACTGGGATTAGGATGTGGGGCCGGCCTGATTCCTTCCGCACAACACCCGCAGTCATGCGGATGCGTTGGCCCTGACTCCCATCTTCCCAGCTTCGGACATCGATCTTATGAACGAACTTATCGACAGCAGTGAGAATTGTCGCCTGCAGAGCAACACGTTGTAAAAGGGTTGAGGATGACATGGCTGACAATGATGCTGCTGACAATACCACTGGTAGGGCCACATGTCGAATTTGGGCATTCCCGTGCGTAGACTACTGACCACCGTAGGAGCAGGTCAGTTTAGGGTAGTTTAGGCTCGGAAGTATTGAAATACGGGCTCGCCGTGGGAGTTGCGAAGCTTCTACAGCCCTGAGCACCTGCGATGCTCAACAGCCGAAGAGACCCGGAGAACGGACTTCCACAAGTCTAAAAACCCCCCAACCTACCTCATAAGACATTGAAAAAGCACAGAATCCCGATGTAGGAGTTACAAAATCTATATCCTGACTTCGTCGCATGCTCCCCGCCGGGGTCCTGGTCGTGGGGGTACGGCTGAGGGTTGTCTTATGTGGAGGATTTCACAGGTTAACGAAGTCGCGTAATTTTTCGTGTCTTAATAAGGATGTTGCTACTCAAGGTCTCTTTTGGGCTCCTGTGTTTTCTGGAACTCCCGCGTGCCTGGGCAGGCATCTTGGGATTTCGGGCTCTACAGTATGGTTTTTGGGTTGTCGGAGCTCAGACTGTAAGGTTTTTTGTGTGCGCTTGCGTATGTATATGCATACATACAGAAGAGATACACACATACAATGCATTACAAAATAGCATAGTCTAACCTCATGTCACATTATATATATACACACACATTCAGATTAACTATGTAATGTAATACAACCGAATATAGCATAAGAGCGTTATAGAGTATAATGGTCTGTGTTTCTACATATATTACAGTATAACATGTTAAATTATTTCATATACGGTCATGCCATATCATGCAATATAATCCAATCTAATTCATGACAGTGCAATATTACATAACTCCATCAATATAGCATAATAATACATCTTGGCATACCATCTTATAATGCAATACAAATACAACTACAGTACAGTACAACACACTAGAATACAAGAGAGCACAATTGACAATGCATTATGATGTCATGCAATATGTCAGCATACCGCAATACACTAAAATAAAAAAAACCATGGTACAACATCGTGTTAGTCAGTATACTATTTATATGCTAGTGTCATTATTTTTGCTCTTCTTATTGATTGTGCTTCGCACTGGTTACCGTTATTGCTGGTTGGTTTTGAAGATTTACCATATTTACTGCTCTTTCTGTTGCTGTTGCTATGTCCAGTGCTAGAGGCTATTGTGGTTATTGCAACTGGTACTGTCATTGTTTATTCAACACCGGCTCGGAATCTGCCTGGCTGATTCCCCTTATGTTTTTCAGTTCGTAGTCATGACGGTTTCCTAAACGCAAACCTTCTACAGCCTAAGCCTCTCAGGCTTTAGCATTTAGAGGTGAACCCCGAACCAGAACTCTACCAACCTGCGGTACTTGTGACCATATTTACTAGGTCCCGTCATCTGTAAACCCTAAACCCTAAACCGCTCTGGCAGGCGTGGTCTGCTCCCAGCCCTAGATAACGAGGGCGAGCATGTCTACGACTCCATTGTTTTACTGGAGTCATGGCCTCAGATCATGGGCGAGTTTAAAAAGGTGGCCGTTTTGTCAACCAAAATTCCGAACTAAACCTAAAACCCGTGGAGTATTGTTCTCTTGGATTAAGTCACATTGGTTTTCGCATGTGTTCGCACTACACACATGGCACGCTGCAGTCTTATCGATGTGTGCATCGTGTCTGTGTGTGCCTGTATCTGCGTGCATGTGTCCACTATGTATGTATCTATATGTATGCATCCATGTATGTATTTATGTATGCATGTATGTATGCATGCATGTATGTACGTATTATACTGTACGCACGCACGTATGTATGCGTGTAATTATGTATGTTTGTTTAGCAGGACACAGCCCACACCATGCGCAACTACACATGAAAAGTAGACTCAATGTAGACAAAAACACTACCCTGAGGCTGTTATCTGCTTCTCATCCTTCTGCTGCATGAAGGAATGCATCGTCCAGCCTCAACTGTTAAAGCCCAGACCCCTACAACAGGAAGCTTGCAGAGCCCCTAAACTCCAAACCCACCTTGAACTCGTAACCGTAAGCCCCAAGCCCTAAACCCTGGAACAAAGAACCCTAAACCTTAAGCCCTTAAGTTCAACCTACACCCTAAACCCTGAAACAAAAAGCCCTAACACCCTAAACCCGTAAGTTCAACATCCAAACGCCCAAGGTACGTGCACGAGATCTTCAATGGGCCTCCACTCCTCCCCACGTCCCCTTTGGCGCGAGCCAAGGTGGCTGAGAGCCAAATTTGAGGGTTTCCGAAAATAGGGGACCCTAATATAGTACCCTAAATAGTAGGATCCTTAGTATAAGGCCCCTAGAATACGGTACCCCTATTGCCGGAAGCTCCCATTTGAGACTCGTCGGGTGTGGGTTTCAACCCCAAACCCTCAGCCCCTAAGCCCTGCGTAAACCGTAAACACCCAAAACCCCTCAAGCCCATATCCGAATCCCTAAGCCACTAAACTGAATCTCAAGGGTTAGCGTCTCACCTTGGGGCTTGCGAGTTTTTGATGCGCGGCGTTTCTTGCTTAGATCTCCGGGCTCGGGCCCCGGCTTCAGATTGCTTTAGGGCTTACCCATAGGCTCCATTGTAGTGCCTTTTTGTGGTTTATATTTGGGATCCTATAAGGTAATCCCAACAAGTAACTACTTTGGAGCCTATGGGTAGAGCTTGGCTTTTAGGAGTTTCGGTTTAGGGCTTGCGGCACCTGGAGGCGGGCGGGAGTTTAGGGCTGCTTTTGGAGGTTCACGCAGCCCTTTTAATCAAGGGATTAAAGGAGAGACCCTTAAAGGGACCCTTGGGGTTATATAGGGGCTTTATGAGACTAGGAAAGGGGTAGACAATGGTGATATAGGGAAGAAGGATTAGGGGTCCCTTCTAGGGGTCCCTCCCATTGTCCCTTAATTTAAGCACTTCCTGAAGCCCAGCGTGTCCGTAGGTGTCCAGACTTGTCAGGTGCGCCTGTGGAGCAAGCACGTGGACCTGCACATCGTACCCAACTTCGAGAGGCCTTGGGTGTAGGGCTCTGGGCTTCGGGGTTTCAGGGTTCCGGCTTAGGGCACAGGCATTTCAGGGTTCCGAGCTTGGGGCATAGGGGTTTTAGGGTTCCGAGCTTAGGGCATAGGGGTTTAGGGTTCCGAGCTTAGGGTTCAGGGGTTTTAGGGTTCCGAGCTTAGGGTTTAGGGATTTCAGGGTTCCGAGCTTAGGGTTTGGGGTTGAGCGCCTTAGGCATCCGGGTTCAGGGGAGTTGAAGAACGGCAACTTTGATGATCTCACGACCACGGGTTGGTTGAGCAACTTCACCCCGGAGCACCCTAAGCCCTGTGCCTTTGAAGCCATGGCCCACTTCCTTTCGCGTTGACTTCGAACCGTAAACCCTGTAAACCCTGGCTTCATGCAGGGGCATAAAGGATTACCAATACTACTGTTGATGATATAAATCCTGCATTACCTTAAGGGCCTTAACCTATGGGAATTGTGGTCCATTTCTTATTATGGGTAATGCAGGGTTTATATCATCAACCGTATTTTGGGGGGTTCCCTGTCAAAATTATAGCAACGCAGGCCCCAAAACCCTATTCTAATTATTAAGCGTTAAAGCCCCTATATTAGGTTATGGTGGTATCCCTAATCCCTAACCCCTAAACCCCTAAACGACCCTAAGCCGGAGCCTCTGAGACCTTCTGCAGCCAGGCTCCTGGCCGCCCACGACGCGGAGGCGCGCGCAATGGCCCGCGAGGACAGGTGTCGGGGAAAAGGGCTCCCGATTCCCGGGCAACGAGGGCTTGACCATTATGGCATTATGACATACTGTTGATGATATAAATCCCGCATTACCTTAAGGACCCTAAACTATTGGAATTATGGTATTTTCCTTATCATGGGTAATGCAGGATTTATATCATCAACCGTACTCAATGGACTCCTGCCACCATTGTATCTCAAGGCTACAGATAAAGGTCTGAATCATTAGCAACAACATCCCCGTACCGTCCCTGAAGAGTCCTAGGAAGACAAGAGCCCTGGGACCCTATAAACACCAGGAAAGCCGCATGCTAAACCCGCCAATATCCATACAACGCTATACGAAAACTCTGATTATGCCCTAAACCGTAAACCCTAGACCCTATTCCAAGGGCCCCTGAAGCTTTCTCAGGACCTTGTCCAGGCTCTTGCCCTCTTCGAGGCTTCCCCCTCAGAGGGGCCAGGAGCTGTGGGGTAGTATAGGGGCCGTAATCTATATATATATATACATATATATATATATATAATTTTAATATATGTTTTTTTTGGGCTTCTTATTATAGTTACAAGGCTCTAAGTTTTTCATGGGCTACTCAATTTAGGCTTCTATCAGGGGTTTGCGAATACTGACCGCCTGCACTGACTTACGGTCCCTTATAAAAACTGTCTATAGTACATATACCCCGAAGCCCGATTCCGGTGTGTAAGGCCCGAACCCCAAATCCGAAACTTTACACAGTTCTACGCCCCAAACCCTACATGCCATTGACAGCTCCTTCCAGGTCCACCCCCCAACAAAAAGAATGCCTATTCTATCCTGAAGACCCTATTCTAAGACTCAATGCCCCGATGTTACCCAGTTGGTCCCAAGTATCTGGTAATCATATACTCTGCCAAACACAGACCTACATAACTATATAAGAAACCCAAGCACCTGACTCATGGGTCCTTTGGACCTTACGAACCCCTTCAAAAAAACCCGAAAGCCCCCTTGTTGGAACCCTTACAGTAGCACCTTGATCCAACACCCTTAAAGCCCCAAGCCCCAACCCCTAAACCCTAAACTTGTTGGAACCCGAATCTTGATGGAACCGACGTAAGACTCATAAGACTCACCTACCGTCCTTTAGACCCCTAGGGGTAGAGTTCATCACTCCTTCCTAAACCCTAAACCCTAAACCCTCAACCCTCAACCCTAAACCCTAAACCCTAAACCCTAAAACCCTAAACCTTAATCACTCCTTGGGAGTTGTTTGCTGAGGAAGCAATGAGTCCCCTGGCCAAAGGCACAGAGGGGGGCTTTGGGGCTTTCAGGGGTTAGGGCTTAGGGGTTTGGGGGTTTCAGGGTTTGGGGGGTTTGGGGGTTTAGGGCTTAGGGGTTTGGTGGTTTCAGGGTTTGGGGTTTAGGGTTTAGGGGTTTCAGGGTTATAGGGCTTACGGCTTAGGGTTTAGGGTTTGGGGGTTTTGGGGGTTCAGGGTTTAGGGCTTACCTGTAACCGAAAAGACCTACCTTTCAAAGGAACTATTTATGGAAACCATAATAGTAATATAGGTCTTTCCGGCTACAGGTGGGGCTTAGGGTTTATAGGGTTCAGGGTTTATTTAGGGATTAGGGTCTAGGGAGTTACGGATTTTGGGACCTGCGAGTGTAGGATCCAGTAGAGTTTAGTTAGGTGCTGAGAGTTTCGGATTCGGGGTGTCGGAATTTGGGGATTTGGGGTTCCATGGTTTCAGGTACCGGAGTTAGGGTTCGGGATTTTGGGGTCTAATACCTAAACCCGAAACCTTTAAAACCCTAAACCCTAAACCCCAAACCGTAAAGCGGGGTTTGGCGGTTTAGGGTTTAGGGCTGTAGGGGTTTAGGGGCTAGGGGGTTCGAGGTTTCGGGGTTTAGGGTTTAGGGGCTAACCTTGGGATCCTTATCAGAATCCCCCTTTTTAGGAAGAGTGGTTCATTGGTCAGGGGTTTACATCTTCCTGAAACCCTAAACCCTAAACCCTGACGTTTCATGCCTTGAGGCTCTCTGTGGATACTCGCTGCATTAAAAGGCCCTCAACAAAAACCCTAAACCCTGAAACTTCAACCTCAGCTCCTGCAGCTGGGAACCCAGAAGGCCCCTTCTTCCTGGGAAGCGATTTCTCCATGGCGGATGCGGCTTGGGCCCCAGGGAGGAGTTAGGGTTAGGGTTCTTCCCAGTAGTTGTGGTTCGGCTCGAAACCCTAGAGGCCCTCCCCTAAATCCCAACCTTCTAAGGTTTAGGGTTTGGGGGTTTAGGAGTCTAGGGTTTAGGGTTTACCAGTTTAGGGGTTTGGGGTTTAGGGTTTGGGGGTTTATGGTTGGGGTCGTAAGTGCTTCGGCCTCATGTCTTCGGGAGCTGTGGGGCCTGTGTCCCCTGTGATATGACTCAGCTGCTTGAGCCGCATCGCGTTTGCCTCAGCCTAAGCCACAATCGCTACTCCCAAAAAAGGGTAGCTTCATGCTAAGGCTGATCTCAGCTATGCAGTGATGCTCCCAGCCTTCATCTTTGTAGGTTTGAGTAGTGCTTCGGAAGCAAAGTTACGCGCTTATAACCCCCGTACACTGATAAACCCTAAAGCCAAGACTCTTCTTCTTTTCAGGCCCCAACCCCTGAACCCTAAGCCCCTATTTATGATGCACCAGTGATACCAGGTCTTGGCCCCGTGGTGGCAGCGGATGTGCTCCGTCCTTCGTGCATATCGCTGGCCTGGCATGTCCCCGAAAGGTTTGGGTTTAGCGGATGGGGCTAAGGGTTTAGGGTTTGCGGTTTCGGGCTTAGGCTGTTGAAAGATTTAGAGATTTGGGGTTGAGTCCGGGTTGAGGGTTCAGGTTCAGGTTACCGTAGATGTCTGAATGATCAGTGATCGTATCCACCTCCAGAACTGATTTGCGTCCAGGGTTTAAACCCAAAGGGTCCAAAGTACCTATATAGTAGAATGTAGGGTTTCTACATTAGGAATTATTATTATGATATGGGGAAGTATGCCCCATAACAGTACCTAGGACCCTTTGGCAAAGGAATCTTGGGCTTAGGCTTTCCGGTCTGGGCTATGGCTCAGGGTCTTGGTCCGTAGGGCGTGAACCCTGAAGACCGCAATGTCTAATGGGTTTAGGGCTTAAGGCTTAAGGTTTAGGACTACGGGTTCAGTGTGTAGGGTTTATAAGATGTATCGGGTTTAAGGTTTAAGGTTTAAGGGCTCCCATTAAGGTTCCTTATGGCCTCTGTGTCTGCACATATCCGAAGTAAGTTCAAAAAAGAGACGAAGCACAAGCACTAACTTCATTCGTAAGCAAGTAGCATGGAAGCCTGAACAAGTTTGAAGAGTACTTCTGCCTGGGGGCTCCTCAGTACGGGTATACGATAATGCACGCCCATGGCCCTGTTCTAGTCGTTAAGCCCGCTGCACGAAAGCACAGCTTCCTGTCATCCAGGCCTTTTGCAACCAAAGCCCTGCGACAGGCAGATAGACCCCTAAACCCCTAAACCCTAAACCCCTAAACCCCTAGACCGGGTTGCAAATCCCAGCCTCCCAAATCCTCAGAGTTGTGGAGTTGGAATGTGGTTGGCGGTTCCTAGACGCCCTAAGACAATTCTAAGCCCCGAAACCCCTAAACCCTAAACCCCCAAACCCCTAAACCCCAAAACCCTAAACCCTAAACCCTAAACCTCTAAGACAATCCTAAACCCCTAAACCCTAAACCCCTAAAGCCCGAAGACAATCCTAAGCCCCCAAAACCGCCGGGAGCTTGCCAGGCAAGTTCGATCCTTCTGCGTTTTCCCGGCTTCAGGTTTGGCCGGGAAGCCCGGATCCTGCAACTTTGTGAGGCTTAGGTTTTAGACGGATTTTGGGGGTTTAGGGTTTAGGGTTTTGCAACTTTGTGAGGCTTAGGGTTTTGGGTTTTAGACGGGTTTTGGGGTTTGGGGTTTAGGGTTTTGCAACTTTGTGAGGTTTAGGGTTTAGGGTTTTAGACGGGTTTTGGGGTTTAGACGGGGTTAGGGGCTTAGGGTTTTGCAGCTTTGTGAGGTTTAGGGCTTTGGGTTTTAGACGGGTTTTGGGGTTTAGGGTTTTGCAACTTTGTGAGGTTTAGGTTTTAGGGTCGGAGCCTGGAACCCCAGAGGCCCCAGAGCCCCCGAAGGCCCCGAAGGCCCTAAACCCCTAAGGCCCTAAACCCCCAAACCCTACCTAAAGTCTCCATTGTAGTTCCATTTTGGGGTTCCCTTCTCGGATCCTTATTATAGAATTTGTCAAACCCAAGAAAAGGAACTACAATGGAGACTATAGGTAAAGCCCCAAATCCTAAAGCCCCAAACCCTAAAGCCCCAAATCCTCCTAAACCCTAGAACCCTCTATCCTAAGCCCTAAACCCTAAACCCTAAACTTCTCCCAAACTCCTCTGAAATGCTTTGAGCTCCTAGTCGGTCGCGGGCTCGAGAGCCTGGTGATTGGGAGGCAGGACTACAGGGTCCGAGATCTCCCTATCACTCGGCATTTCGGGGTTTTTGGGGGACTTATAAACTGATGTTCATGCTACCTTTTTAGTAGGTTTCGTTCCGGTTTTCATAACATTTGTAATGTTTATTCTTGAACCCTACAGAATACGAATGCTATCTACTACTGCTTGTGACGGCTACTGTCTGTGAGGAGTCTTATCGGAGAAGGGCAGCCGACGAAAGGATATTGCAGTCGAATGTCTAGGAGTCTAGGTGCATGATTTTTTCGAGTCGGTCTTTTTCCCCGTCTCATCCGTACACTGAAGGGTACCTGTGGTATGTTGTTATTTAGGTACCATGTTGTTATTTAGGTACCAAAAAAAGCCTTATCCAGCCTTGCTCAGTCGCACTCCTAGCACAAGGTTTGAGGCCGTGGAAGGACGACCATGCTTTGCGAAAACCGCCCTCGACCCGGAGAAGTTGATCGAGGACTGGTTTTAAAACAGAGATGTGGGTATAGTTCGTAGTACCATGCCTTTATTGCAGTGCGGTTGTGGGTCCAACGGCTAAATGGCAAAGTTTAGGAGTTGGAGGCTGAAGGCACCGCCAAGGCCGCGAAACGAAAGGTTTAGGATCTGGGAATTAGGGCTTGCGGTTGAAACTTCAGGGCCTTTAGGGTTGAGGATGTAGGATTTGGGGGGTGAGGCTTTAAGGGTGAGTTGCAATTAAGACTTCGAGCGTGGTAGGTACAAACAGTTCTAAAGCCAAGAGATGATCCCCTAAACCCTAAACCCTAAACCAAACCCTAAACCCCCTTGAGCAACGGATTCAGGAGCCCTCTCGAAGCCCCAAAGCTCGAGAAAGGCATGTTTGACCCTGACAGCCCCGGTGTCTTTTTGATATCATCCCCGATGACCGCTGGCTCGTGCGGTGTTGGTTTGGGATCGGTGTTGCTGTTGCTCTTCGTCCTACGATGTTGTTTATAAGCCCTAAACCCTGAACCCTAAACCCCTAAACCCCTAAACCCTAAAACCCCTAAACCCCTAAACCCTAAACCCCTAAACCCTAATCCCCCTAAACCTCTAAACCCTAAACCCCTAAACCCTAAACCCTATAAGCCCTACTATAAACTGTTTTTTGCTGCTGTCCTTCGGGCCCAAGGAGTTTTCCTACTGCGCAGACCCGGACGTGGAGGAAGGGGTGCGCTTCCGGCGAGGAGGGCCGAAGAGCTTGAGGACCGTTTGAACCAGTTTGGGGGTGTTTTAGGGTTTAGGGTTAGAGGGTTTTAGGGTTTAGGGTTTGGGGGTTCAGGGTGTAGGGTTTTAGGGTTTAGGGGTTTAGGGTTTTGGGGTTTAGGGTTTTGGGGGGCGTTTGGGTTAGGAGTTTTCGGGTTTAAAGTTGGGGGTTCGGGTGGTTTCGGTCATCGTCTTTAGGAGCTTGGGGGGGTTGCGGGGTTGCGGTTTCAGGTTTGGGCTTCGGGGCTTAGGATGTCGGGTTCGGGGCTCGGGGTTCAAGGTTCAGCAGGGTTTTTGGGTGTTGTCATAAAGTTGGGGGTTTGAGTTTCCAGGGCTTCGGGGAAACTACTTGAATAGCCTTGGTTTCAAGATTAGGAGGGGTCGGGCCTCTAGGACTGCGGGGTTTGGTGGACTTGGGTCCGAGCGTCTAGGTAGTAACACCCCCCTCCTCCCCCTCCTCCACCGGAGTATGGATCACAGGCGCTGCATTCGTGGAACATCGCTTTCGGACTTTCTGGTGATTCGGGCCCTCCTTGGACTCCATTTACCTTAGAACCCTAAACCAGAAACCCCTAAACCCTATAACCCCTAAACTCCAAACTCCCGACTCCCTACTAGCAGCAAAAAATTGAAGCTGCTGTTGCCGACTGGGAGATCGGCGAGCAGCTCCGGATGCAGATAGTGAGAGTGAAGTTGACCCCTAAACCCTAAACCCCTAAATCCCCAACCCCTAAGGGTTTAGGGGTTTAGGGTTTAGGGTTTCCCCTAAACCCTAAACCCCTAAACCCTACACTCTAAACCCTACCCCAAGCTCCTAGGCGGAACAATTTTCTTTAAATGCGGTCCCTTGAATCCAGACGAAAGGCAGGCGAAATTGACACTCCAGTTGCCGGCCGAATCCCGGACACAAAAAATCCTCGGAATAAGTTCCATCTGAGGCGAAAAAGAGCATCCTAAGCCTTAAAACATGAAATCCACAATCCTAAACCCCAAAACCCTCTAAAGCCCTGAGCACTAAACCCTAAAGCCCTAAAGACCTAAAGCCCTGAGCCCTAAACCCTAAAACCCTAAAGCCCTAAACCCGAAAACCCTAAAGCCCTAAAGCTCCCCTAAAGCCTTAAACCCCTAAACCCTAAAACCCTAAATCCTAAGCCCTAAACCCTAAAACCCTAAAGCCCGAAAACCCTAGAACCCTAAAACCCGAAAGCCCTAAAGCCCTAACCCCTAAAACCCCTAAAGCCCTAAACCCTAAAGCCCTATAAACCCTAGAAACCCTAAAACCCTAAACCCTAAAGCCCTATAAACCCAAAAACCGAATCCTGAGCCCTGAACCCTAAACCCTAAAAACCCTAAATCCTAAAACCTAGAACCCTAAAGCCCAAAAGCCCGAAAACCCCTAAAGCCCTGAACCC